TTCTGCACCCCCCACTTCACAGTCAGACGTGACTCTCAGCCAGCCAGGAAAACAGGGGTTTATTAGACGACAGGAACATGGTCTAAAACAGAGCTTGTAGGTCCAGCGGCGAATGGGACCCCTCGGCCGGGTCCATTCTGGGGTTCAGAGAGCCAGACACCCACGTCTGCCCTCACTCCTAGTCCCCAGGTAGCTCCCACTCTGAAACCCCTCCAGCCCCTCCTTCTCCGGGCTTTGTCTCTTTCCTGGGCCAGGAGGTCACCTGATCTCTTTGTTCACCTTTAGCTATTTCCTTGCAGGGGGGGAAGGGGCCCTGGCCATTTGTTGCCAGGGAGACAGAGTGTCAGTGATTTATGCACACTGGCCTTTCCCCACCACCTAGAGACTTAAGAAATGCATAGGGGAAACTGAGGCACCCACACAGTATTCAAAGGAAACATTAAGAACAGTCCCAGTTCCTCACATCTCTCCCCCCTTCGAGACTGAACTGAGTGGGGTCACTGCAGCCAGTGACCTGGGGAAGTTCGAACCTACCCCCGTTCCCGTGGATGCCCCCGCATCCCTCCCATTCCTTGGTGGGAGTTAGACCAGGACCTTCCAGATTCACATCCTCCCGTGGGTATGTTGTGCTTGATGGCGCTTGCAGGCTGAATGTGGGAAGGTTTATGCGGCCTGTACCCTTTTGCCACCCCAATACCCCTGGGGTCTAAACTGAGATTGGGTCTTTTCCCAGCGCTCCAGTCTGGAGGGCTGCAATTCGAGCTCTCGGTTAAGAGCCCCCATCTGGACCTTGGCCACCCTCTGACCAGGTGTCTCTGTCCCCAGCAGCTCGGCCTCAGCCCCTTGCATGTGACGCCGCCCAAAACAGTACGGCTGCAGCTTTCTAAGGGCCTGCACCATGGCCGGGCATTTCTTCTCTGAGGCCGCATAGTTCTGCTCCCAGGGCAGCCGTTTCCTGCTCAGGTACCCGGTGGGGTGTCTCCCCCCCTTAGCATCGGCTTGCATCAGCACCGTGCCCAGTCCTGCGTCTGAGGCGTCGGTGAACGCTGCAAAGGGCTTGGCAAAGTCTGGGTTTACCAGATCTACCGGGCCCTGGATTAGAGCCTCCTTCAGTGCACAGAGAGCCCTCTGGCCCTGCTCGGTCCAGACCACCTCGTCTGGCTTACCCCTCTCACATAGCTCAGGGATGGGGCAGCTCGGGGGCTAACATGAGGTACAAACCTCCGGTAGCACCCCGCCATCCTGATAAAGGCCTGGACTTGTTTCTTGGTCTGGGGAATGGGCCAATCTGATCATCTCCACCTTGCACTTTACGGCTTTTACCCTCAGTCCCACCTCCTTGAGGCAGCCCAGCCCCCTCTTCACCTGGGACACCTGTTCCTCCCCGGTCTGGCTAAAGACACACACGTCATCGACGTACGCCAGGGCCAAGTCCTCCATCCCCCTCAGCTTGTCTAGAATCTCCCCAGGCCTAGGCCTGGGGTGGGCATCGCACACGGTGATGGCTTTAAGCTTCCGATAGTCCACACATAACCGGAGCGACCCATCTTCCTGGGGGACCAGTCCCACGGGTGAGGCCCGTGGGCTGTTGAACGGCTGGATCACATCTAAAGCCAGCAGGTCCTTGACCTCTCTCTCCAGGTTCTGGGCTCCTTTCCCAGTGACTCTGAACGGGGAACACCTGATGGGGAGATTGGCTCCCACCTCAGGGAAGAGATCCACCCAGGGGTCTTCCCCCTTCTCCTCCCAATCCTCCCCTTCCGGGTCCAGGGGTCCCCTCACTCTCCTCCCATACAGCAACTCGAACGGGAAGAACCCTGTGGATTCCTGGGGCACCACCAGCTGCCTCCCGATTCCCCCCAGTTCTACTTCCCCTTGGGGAGCCCATTCCCGGTACAGGAATCCCTTCTCCCACCGGACTCTGTCCCTGCAGCCGTCCCCAAGGGGGTTTGCAGCGCTGTGGCCAGCAAGTTCCCTCAGCTTCTCCAAGGAGGGATCCCTCTGCAGCTCGGGCTGGAATTCAGCGGCTGGGGAAGGGAGTGGGACCTGCTCCCTCTCGCTGGCTGGGCCTGGGGTCACAGACCCTCTGAGCCCTGTCCCTGGTAGCCCCTTCCCTGCTGTGTAATCACTTCCCAGCAGCCCGTCTGGGCCAGGCAAACCTGGTTGGCAGCCGACCTGCCCTGCCTGTGTCCCCCCACTCAGCTGGGGTCTCAGCTCCCCCTGTGCCCAGCACTGTCCTGGCTGTCCCAGTGGGGGCAGGCAGCGAGCTCTCTGCTCTGGTCACAGCATCAGAGCCAGCGTGAGCCCCCTCTCCGGTGTGCAGGGGGGCGGGGAGCATCTCTCCCTCCCTCTCAGCCCCAGGGGTCTGGTTACAGGTAGGCAGGTATCCTGCGCCCAGCAGCCCCTCCCTCCTGGCAGCCAGGTCATTTGCATTGTCACTGACCATTTCCCTCTTAGCCAATTGGTTCCCCAAATTCAAATTCAAATCCTCGGCCATTACCGGAGCAGGGCCTGGATCCTGTCCCAAAGAGACACAGTCACCCCCCAACAGGACCTCCCAGCCGAGATCCTGGAGAACCCCAATGACCAGCCAGCCCGACCCCTCCTGGGTCTGCACAGGGATCCGGGCCATAGGCAGGGCGAGGGGCTTCATCCCGGGGACCTTCACCCAGGTCACACAGCCCCTCAGCATCTGCGGCTGCACCACCTGGAGCCCGACAACAGTTCTCTCTGTCCCAGGGTCTCGCCACCCCAGGCATGTCCCCCCATTGACCCCCACCTTCCGCTCCCACTGGGGGTCCGAGGGGCCTGAGCCCAGGAGACTCCACGCAGACATATAGGCCGGGGCCAGGAGTGGGAGCCTGTCCACCACCCCACCCATCTGGCTGACGGCGTCTATGGCCTTGGGACCCAGCAAGGGAGCTAGATACCGGGGCTTTTCCGCAGGGTCCCCCTGGTTCAAATCACCCGCCTGCTCGAAGGCAGTGTGGTGGGCATCACATCCCCCCCTCCTTAACCAGGGGCAGCAATTTAGTGTCGAGGCTCCCTGCGGAACTG